ACACTAGGCGGAGTTTAATGGTTTTAGCTTGAATGCTCTTTATGAGCCTCTATGGTTCATTCGAATCTGATGAATGGCCTGCGTTTTAGCCTTTGGAGTTTTATATGGCACCTCAATACTGCTAAATGGGCAAGAATGGGATTTATGTACCCTCAGTCTATTCTACAGCCCACGGTTTTAAGAGGCGCTATCCTACCTGTATGACTCTTTTATAATTCAACTTTGCCCTACATACCAATTTTCATAGACCTTTAGAATTTAGGATTGAGGGTATAAGAGATTTCCTTTAGAAAATTTTGAATACATAATTTGGATTCGGTTGTGGATTTAGGCGTTTTAACGTCATTTTGGTAATAAAAACTTTCTGCTGGTCTGTTTACATTTCAAAAGTATTTAGGAAGTGTGAATTGAATATTGAACAGCTTTTGATAAGAAAAATATTTAAATAAAAATAATTATCGACTATATATATACTGTTACCTTAAAAAGAATAATAAGTTGTAAATAAAGGTAACCCCTACTCTCCATAAAAGTATAAAAAGGTGGTAGGAATGCTGGTCATTGGCAGTAGATAAGCGAAAATCAGTCCTACTAGCAAGCTATAGAGTCGATGTCGGTTTGGAGTGTTAGTTGGAAGTCACAGATCACAGACATCTTAGCAAGGAGTGTCTATACAAATGTGCCAAATAGGGCTCAAAATGCAAAGGGGAAGCTACCAGTTCGTATCAACTTATGGAGAGATTGTTTTGCAAAAGAAAATTAAAATGGAAAAAGAGTAGCTTTAATTACATTAAAGAAAGAGTGAATATAAATAACAAAATTCACGTTTAAGTAAAATAAATAGTTAAGTACAAAAGATACTTAACTGTAAGAACCAGTTCAAGTTCAAGGGCGCCTACTTAACTTAAAATGTTAATAACTTAAATATGTAAGTAAGTACCTATTAAAAGCAAAATAATTTGTGCTAATATAATTATGTAAACTGCCACAAATTATACTCAGTATTCGGCAGTAACATTATTAAACTCTTTCTTAATCCAACGATAAGATCGGAGCCTTTAGACCAGAAAATTATCTAAAAACTTCAATGAGAATTTAATTCCTTTATACGTTTATTATTTAAAAATAAAGTTATTAACTTTTATTTATAGAATAGTTTAGGATTAAAAGACCATGTTTTTTTTAATAAAAATGTAAATAGTTTTACATACCGATTTAAATATTTACTTTGGGAGAAAATACTGGGATATTTAGGAAGAGTTTTAGAGAAAGACTGTAAGAGACACTTTCTCTTTTCTTTCTCCACTCAAGACAAAATAATTATTTGATGATTTACCCCTTCGAAAAAAGTTTACAAATTGACTAATTATTCTGTATATCACAATAATCTCAAGCATTCACTGTAACCTACACTGTAAGTGGCTTAAACTAAAACTAAAGTAATCAGATAAGTATCTAAGTATTATTAATACTATACTCGTTAGAAAGACGTCTAAACTCCATCATGTATAGGAATCGGGCTGTTTTTATGTGATGGGTGGATGGAACAGGCGGATTACCCGATGGTAAGCAATCAGTGCCACCTATAGGCACTCGCAACAAAAAAAGAGTTGCGAGCGGGCGTGGCCGACGCTTTGAAGATTTGGGATTTGGAGATTTAGGGGTTGGGAAGCTGACCCACACGGCGAAACACAACGTTGTGCTTATTTCACGCCGGTTTTCAATGAGGCCGTGGTATCACTCCGGTCGAGCTGACCCATTCGTGCGAAAGCATAACTCTCCCATACTTAAAACATTTTTAAACCACACCATACCGTACTCCAAAATTACAATGCTAGTTACAAAATATATTAAATGTTATTAAAGTTTGTTTGTAAATCAATGTACTTTAGCACTTTCCTGGCCGCGATCCGATAAATAATAAATATTCAAAGGGAAATAATTAAAACACATAACGCATTTCGACACCTCCGGAATTGATTCTGGTAACTTATGTTGGACTCGATAAATATTTTAAAAGAGATACGGTCACAGTGACCGCGGGTGCTGACGCTAGAGATAGTATTTATGTTTTCACAAGCTGAAGTGATTTCTAATGTTTTAAAGTAGAAGGTATGTAACTGTTATAAATGTCTTGTGAAGCTTGCAGGATAAGTGCTGAAGACTAAGTCCACACTTTGTCTACATTGAATCAGATATTAATATTATAAAAATGTAATATTTTGTTGCGTTGATATTCATCACTACATAGTACAAAGCAAAGTCGATTTATCTGTCCCAATATCCCTTTGTATGCTTAAATCTTTCAAACTACGCATGGATTTTGTATAAAAATCTACAATATTCTTTATTTCTTAATGATTTTTATTATTGTATGTCTAAATATTAAACTGCTACAGAATTTCCCAAAAAACAAATATTACGCAACAAATTCTTACAAAACATAATCGCTAACACAGGCACCACACCTCAACATACAACAAAATCATAACTTAACTCCAAACAAGAATTGAAAGCAATCTTAGACGCTTAGATATCTCAGATCAATTCAATAATAAAATAATACAAGAATAATATTTGTCTTCTTTATTTTTAAAAAAGGAATCGCTTTGTGACTATGACGTCAGAACCAGAACACAGCACAATTGCTACACCTCTCTTCTGGACTGTGACTTTGCAGTCACCAGAAAAACCATTTGTTTTGACAGGAAACTGACTTTGGTGCTTTGTGATAAACCTAATTCTTGGAACTGCGATCTTCAAACCACGTTCAAGGTGCCGTTTTAAAGTAAACAAACTTTCGAAAAAAAAATATGGCATTAAAATCCGGGGTTGCAGATCTGGCGTTAAAATGTATGTAAAATATACCAATAGTTCAGAAAAATAAACCTATGGTATTAATGTACTGCTACCCAGACCTGGAGCAGGAGATGAAACGATGCCATTTTAGTCAGTAAGAGTCTGACACTTCCTCTGGCCCCACCCTGGGCGAGCGAAGACAAATAATGACTTTCACCCTCAATAAAATAAAATATTATTTAAATCGCTGATCTTTTGAGAGTGTTATCACCCTGTAATTCGATATTACCAAGAAATCTAGGAGAGCTTCTAAACAGTAAATTACTTCTATACTATTTCTTGGAAAATCATCTCACATTCAGCTGTGAATGTGGTAGAACAATCATGATATTAATTAAATTGTGCATAATCTTATTCTAAGTTAAATACACGAAATTACTTCAGTGGTTATGTAGCCTTTTGTTCTATTGCAAGAACCAAATATGGTTTATATTTTTTATTTCCGTAGATACTAGTTACACAGTATGAAGACGTGAACAAGACATTGATGACCCCTACTTGTATTAAAAGTAACTCACTATCTAGGTATACTAATATTTGTAAATTAAAATTTGTAATTGTGTATGGTATATGTATATGGGTAATATTTGAAAATGCTGGCCGGATTTCCAAAATTCTCTATCACTGATAGATAGCTACAATGTTCTTGAGTGACTGGCTTTAAACTGCTTTACTGATTTTTACCAAATTCTATAAGCATATTCAGTAAGTCCGAGGAAAGGCTATTTTATTCCTGTTTTTTTTACTCTATTACTATTACCTGTAAGTAATTTGTATTGTAAAATAATGTTCGCCAGGCCAGCTAGCATACCTATATCTGTTTCCAGGGTTGCGGGGCAAGCGCTATGAGGCACCGCGGTCGTAGCCCAGACCAGGAGAAGGAACGGAGGGTTTTTAGTCAGTAAGAGTCTGATACTCCCTCCCGCCCAACCCAGCGCTATGAATGTCATTTGATGATTTTCCCGTCACAAGAAAGTGGATGTTCCATTTGATTACTATAACTCTATCTACCCTTCTAATTTCAAATTCTAATGTACCACTAAACAATCTAGTTCTAATGCAACGATTATATTATTATGGATATGCCATTGACCTTGGCTCAGTGTGTCTGGCTTCCCGCCTACGATTTTACCATTTTAGTGGGAGTTTTCTTGATACTATTTTCATGTTATTTTTTGTTTTGTTTTGTTTTCCTTACAGACCTTGTCCTTGTTAGCTCATGTTTCTATAAACATAAGATTCCAGTGAAGTTTGGATAAATATTATCTTTCGTGTTAAAGCGATTAAGTGGTGGATTTGCACATCCGTGTTTTTATGCACATAAAGTTCATAATCTTACGACTTTTTTCAAGTAACACAATAGCTGTAGATCCTTCTATTATAAATATTATATTACTCAAGTATACTGAATAAGAATCACAATGTAGGTATGCCAATATATCAACAAGATATAAATTATAATTCAATTTTTTTTTTGTTCGTGTTCATTCGTCGTTGGTCACAACTCCCAAGTAGTTTCATTATTAAAGTGCTATCCAATCCAACATTTGTAGTTAAAACTCGAGGAATGTACTTGCGTCCTCCACCAACCAGAATCACATTCATATATTTTAAATACCACTCACGATGCGAACGCTCACAGCGTTGATATAATTACGACGCTCATAATTATCGCAATGTACGAGATGCATTGCCGTTTCAATAACAAGCAGAGAGAGAGCTATAGTTGTCGCACACTCAATGTACACTAAATTAACGTAAGGAACATAAATTTTATACAAATGACAGTTACACGTGTTGTTTCCATAAATGTTTCTTTTGATCATAACTTTAGAACGTCGGTAGGTTTTATTTAAGATTTTATGAGAGCGAAATTGCCCTCGAGGATTTCGAAATGTAATTAAGTCAAGTGTAGTTAGTTAATTTTATAGTAACATTTTACTGGGGAAAACTTTATGAATAAATAATTTGAAATAAAATAACGTTCTACTGGAGTAGTTTTCGCGTCATTTTCATGCTCTAGGTGATTCAAAAATTGTTGAATTGTCACTCTCTCCAAGTTGGCTTTCTAGACGTGATTGTTGTTTTTATGTAACAAAAATAAAAAACAATGTCTGCGGTTTGATCGTAAAAAGATGAACTTACCTGAAATAATCATTTTTGCAGAAAATGTTGCTGTCTCTGGCGTAGCACCGTTGTTCTGAGTCAAGGGGCATTTTGCACTCGCAGCATTTAAGGCAGGGTGTATGCCAGCGGCGTTCTAGTGCCAGAAGGTAATATCTGTCGGTGATACGGCCGCCGCAGCCGGCACAAGCGTCTTCGGGGGGAGGTTGGGGCGTTTCGTCCGGGGGTTCCCTCTTCCGACACGAGGTGCAGTCACGCGGTGAGCCAGGGGATGTCGCGGGCGCGACAGGGGACAAGTCGCCGCCCCCCTCGTACGCCGACGTTAGGTATCTCTCACTTTGTTGCTGAAACAAGAATAAAATTCTTTAATGACAAATTCTGAAAGTTTGGGAGCCAGAAACTTCGATGCGCCCTAATTTAGAATAAGTTAGTGTGTAAGTCATTGTCATCCTATCTATTTAACAATCTCTTTTGCTGTGCCCGATAGTGTCCACAATTGTGTCAATTTTTTTTACAAACCATCTATTTTGTACATTGGAATGCAATAAACAATTGAGTATTTTGTATTTCTTTACTCCATACATCATTTATAGCTTCCAATAATTTACATACAAAGTTCTCGTAAGACAGCCTAACATTTATATCAAACCTAATTTGCTAAAATAACTTTATTTAATATACCTATAAGAATATTGGACATTATATGTTTACAATTACAACACAACAGTTAATATTAAACATTGAGTTACGTACATACAGATATTTTTGTACAAGTAATTAAGAAAACACGGCTAATTCAAAATCCCTTTTTGACAAGAAAAATTGGTCAATTAACAAAAGAAAAAGGTTTAATACACGAATTACGTTGTTTAATAAATCCAAAGAACAATAATGGAAAATAATGGCCGGAATGAAAGTATTTTGTATGCTATGTACCCGATTTAACCCTACTTTGAGTCCGAAAGCACGGATTACGTTTTCCTCCAGCAGAACAGCCATCATTAACTACCCTACAAATATTTTTGGGACCCTAAACGTAACATCTTAATAAGGTTTATTAAACTAGGAACAGAGAATTAATCAGTAAAAAAAGCTACCTTATTAATTAACACAATTAATTCTCTACAAAAAGCATTAGGAAATTGTTTTTATTTTCCAAGATATATGTATAAGCGACTTAAATAGGTATGTATGTATTTTTACATGAGAAACGTAAACTTACTCGTGGGTAACTGTATTATCTGATTGATTGATCAAACTGCCGTTGGATAATAGACATTAAAAATAATAATTTATGAATAGTCTAAGTAAAAAATCCCTTGTACCTACTAACGGATCGTAAATTATGTCGCGATTCTAATTTATTATCATTAAAGCTAAGTCTTAGGTACTTCGGTCTCACTTCGCCTACAAGCCAGTCTTAGTCTAAGGAATTCAAGGCCTCTGATAAAATAATGTTCATATTATATTCAAATTACTATAAATATTAAACACTAACTGATATCTGAATGTTTGCATAAATTCAAGGAATCAAGTGCTAAGAACTTTGATAAATAATTGCATCTACAATAAATACCATTTACTTATAGGTAATACACGTACTAAGAAAAAGTTATTAAATATTAAAAATGGCTAACGTTCTTTAGACTACGTCAAATTAACATTATTTAATAATAGGCACAAAAAAAAACAAAAGAGGTTTTATTAAAAAAAAAATACGCAAAGATTATAGTTATAAAATAGTAATAGTATAGGAAAATATTTAATCCTAATTCTGCGTAGAATTAATATTATAGGTAATAATCGACACACGTGACGGATAGATCAAGGATTTTATGACACATATAAAGCAATATTTTTACATAAGATTAATATATTTATGTCACCTGTTCGATGAGAGATCGTTTGGCTGTCGATAGTTATAAAAACCTGCTTCGATGTTATCTCAAAATTAAGAATAGTTGCCATTAAAAAAACTAATTTATAAACGGACTGAATCGTTCCAGAGACCTTGCTCGCGTTACCTTGAAAGAAAGTATAGCCTACACGATATGACAGATTATATCTATCTATCTATCACTGCGCCAAATTTTGTAAACACAATTATAACACACCAAATTCAGAATAAAACTCTGTGATAAATACTAACCTCTAAAATAAATTGTGTAATGAAAGTACAAGACAAAAATATCTCTATCAATTTTATAACGAAGAAAGATTTTATTGTTTACTTATTTGTATTGCCACATCTCCAAAACCACCGAACCGATTTAGAAAATTCTTTCACTATTGTAAAACTTTCTTTTCAGGGAATAACTTTTAAGATAAGTTATATCGCGATAGTTTTACAGTATCAGTATTTGAGAATAGTTATCAAAATTATATAGAGAAATATATTATTTATCAATGTTAAAAGTGTGGAACACTCTTAAGCTCACACTTACCGCCCACCAGGCGTCGAACCCTTATATACAATGTATTAAGCAGACCCTTCACTATGAGGGAGACAAAATGCCCCCTACAAATGAGATATACGCTATCGTTTCTGGTAAAACGATAGACAATATTGAATATTGTTATAGATTCAATTTTTATGTGCCTATGTGTAACCTCGTTTTCTACGGTTTCCTCTGCGCTTTCGTTAGAAGACAAGATGAGACTATATATGTATCATAATAAAGGCAACTTTTTAATACAACATTTTAGGTAAGTATTTCCAATTCATTGGAAAGAACAGGAACATAACATTTGAAAAATATTTGTTTGTTTTGAAAAATGAAATGAACCCGCATAGGTGGCTTGTATTCGGTTTCTCGTTTTACAAAATAACGCGATAAAAAACCGCGTGATTCCGGATAGGGTTAAAAACGACATAAAATTTTTATTTCTATATTTTTTATCTGCCGTAATTTTTAAATAAAGAAATCGCCTTTTCATATTTAGAATTCTATTTATTTATATTACAATACCGTTCTATACACATTATTATTTATCTATGCAAACAGTTTGCGACCACGTGCCGTGCGTACCCGACTAATTCAAGATATACGGAAAAAAACAAACAAAGTACCATCAAAAAGCAGTTTCCAAGCGGCAAATTCATGTAAATAGCGAATTATAAAAATAACAGTTGCTGTAATTTGTGTCTGTACCTATTTATATTAAAATGGCATATAAAGTTTAATATAATTCTTATAGCATTTTTTATTATCTAGTTACAACGCTTTTATGTGATGCTTTTTATCCTATTAATGTATAAAAATTATGAGTTTAGTTCTCTCTCTTAATAAATTAGTGGTAATTCGTTTCATACCTTCTTTTGTTTGTGTGTGGATAAGATTGAGAATGTGTTCGCTTTATACAAAGCTGGATATTTACTTAGTTATTAGGTACGTCATCGATTCGATTTTTAAACGCAACAAATTACGTACTTCGCACGTTGTCAAATTCAATGTTTACATGCGTAGGTATGTAATATCGAATTGTCCAAATCGACGGAATTCTATGGATTTCGTTTCGTACGACGTCTTTTCTGACGTCAATTGTTTTCGATTCATCAAATAGGATTAAAAATAAGCTAGAATAAAAAAACCTTTTATTGCTTTAAACAGTCGAAACATTGTAGTTTTAAGTTAAAAAAGGAATAGCAAATTTTATTTCTCTAACGATAAGTGAAAGATATATGTGTGTTTGGTTTCAGTTATGTGCGTCTCTTTCTTTTCCTCTCTCTGTCTCTCTTTCTCTCTCTCTCTATAACGTAAATATAAAATAAATATGAAATGTAGCCAAGATATATCTCTGCCTGCAAGTAAGTATACAATACATTAAAAAGCCTATTTGGCAACCGTCACAAAAGTTCCTTATAAACTAATAAAGCACATAGGTTATTTATCTGGCACATAGAGGCTATTATGAAAAACACGCTAAGACCTATAAATGTTCAAATTATTATCCTTCACTTAACAAACATAATCGCTGTAAATAAACAGATCGATTGAGAATTTTAATTAAAGTTATACAAGTTAAAAATAACACGGCATTGGTGAACTTATTCTGGAGCCCTTGAACCGTAGGCCCAGAAATCGGAAACGCCCTTCTCCGGTAGCCCGAACAAGGGGCGCCCCCACCCTCCAAGTTTGAGGGCAGCGTAATTAAGCGACTTATAAATATCGTAATATATTGTACTAACGTTTATTTTAAGAGCTTAGCTTTATTCAAGAAAAAAAGAGTAATTTGTTTCGTATTAAATGCAATGTAGGTAGGTACTAGATGATAAATTTAAGTCAAAATAGCTTAATTGTTTCTTGAAAATATTATGGTACCGTAAAATAATAATTACAAATAACTACATAATATATTTTAAAACCAATGAATGAAAGTGTAATTATTTTTGTATATCTTACTATCGAAACAATTTATTTTGAACTAAGTCAGTAATGTAACCAATTGTGCTTAAAACATTTTAAGCCTTCATTTCAAAAAAAACCTTTTTAGTATAATAAATAAAATTTGATTTCGTTGTTTGGTTCGTTGGTAACGTCCCTAAAGCTAAGAAGATTCTTCAATAACCATTTCTTCATAAAAAATATCACTAGAAACAAATCAGTATATTATTTGTAACTGTTCCACGTTATATTTGGTACAAGTGGCTCCATCTCGTTTCGCTCTGAATAAATGCTTGCGAATTTAATAAACCTGCAGCCATCACTGCGCTTTCAATAAAACTCGAAGCTGGCCGAATAATAAAACATATCGATAGATAGAGGACGGTACATTCGTAATACATTACAAACCTTTTTTAATCGAATGTACGCGTCATCAAATCCGTTTTCCATTATCTTCGTCTTCTTCTAATACATTTTCGAATTTATCACAAAATGATAAGGTCGAATATCTATTAACAATAGATATTAGAATTTGGGCGATGTCTGTACACCGAGCGATAAAACCTAATGCGTAAGGATGCGCCAATCTCAAATGAACTGTGCTGTAAAGAAATATAAGCTTAGTAACATCCTCAAGTAAGTGCATTATGTCCCTGGCTGGCCGTTTCTTGATCCATTGCAGTTTATTTTTACTAGCACGTTATTACGTCGTACCCATCCCTTTCACCTAATCCCAAAGACCTTTTCACACCCCTCCCCCCAAGAGAAGGCCCGGCCTTAATACCACACAGATACAGATATACCGTATCTAAAAAAAATTTAGCTTCTTAGTCCATGGGCTGTTAATGTAATTAAAGAATACGGTTTAATATTAAATACTGTCTCGCTTTTTGTAAAGTCTTTATTTAATTATGAAGGAAAATATTTTCTTTAAAATACTTTTATTATTTTTGTTTCAA